GTTGCTTTGTTGGAAATGGCTGTATCCATGCCTCGTGCTTGTTGTCTCCTGCTACATGCATTAGCTGTAATTTCCACACCTCCGTGCTGGCTGTGGCCCCGTGTTAAAGCCAGCACTTGGGGCCGGGTGCGCTGCTATTTTCAAGGCAGCCAAGTCAGGCTCTGAGGACACTAGAGCACCGGCGTGTGAGACCTGGCTCTGACTGTGGGACCTGCAAGGGGGAAGGGAGGGAAGGCAGAGGGGAGCAGGCACCTATCCCAACAGGAGCCAGATGGAGGCCAGTGAACAAGCCCTGACCGATCAGATGACATGTGCAGTGTGGCTCTTGAACATACACAAAGTGGCCTGTTTGTAGGATGCCCAAAAGGGGTCATTTCTACAGCAGAGCACTGCACACGGAGTCCAGAGTGTGCCAAAGATGGAGAAGAAGAGGTGGGGAACGAGAAGGCAAAAAAACCCTGTGCATAGAGAAGAGTTGGAGGTAACAATGGAGACAGTGCATTCTCCCTTGACCAGGGACCCCTGCAGGGTATCCAGCTCCCACGGGGGAAACCAGGGAAACTGCTGAGTCCCTGGAGAGGGAACTACGCAAGGTGGATGGGACTTGCCTGGCAGTCATGAAGCTTTGGCTCTGCAGAGAGGCCTGCTGCCTCCATGCAGTTCTGCAGGAGAAAAAACATCTCCGCCTTGGGAGAGAAGACGTGCTTTCATACTGCAGAGGTGAGGACGGCGCCCTTGTGTGTGCACGTGTGCGTGCTTGGACCCTATGTGAATGCACCTCTGGGGCCTTCGTATCAGATGGAAATGCACGTGTGTATGTGTGCAGAGTACGCTCACGTGCAACAATAAGTGTGCTGATCTGGACACGAGGCTGCATTTGAGAATTGATGTATATGGGTAAGGAGACTGAGAGTATTTGGCTCTTCTCAGGTACTTCTCACTTTTACTCCAAGGGCTCAAGGGATTACTTCTTTCGCTAACCTATTCCCAATACACGCATGCTTTCCAGCTCCCTGAAGTGTCTTCCCTTCTAAGGGTCATGGTTCAGAGCACAGGGCTGAAAGTCCAGACACCTGGGTGTGGCTCCAGCTGCGTCACAGTTAGTAAATGTGGTCATTTTGATCCAATCACTTCTGTTCTCTGAGCCTCATTTGCTTCATCTGTGAAATGGGATGATAACTAGTCAAGTGGGCACTTAGAATTTAGGGTTCCAAATCTCTGGTCCCTTGATCCCACCTCCCCTACTCTGGTCAGTTCCCCCCCCTTGCTCATCCTTGTCCATTGTTGTGTCCTGTGGGGGGTGGGGCAGAAGGACCCAGGACTCCTCAGGTCTGAGTTGCTCCCAGGCAGCTCTGAAGATGGGTCTCCCTTCCACCTGTACTCCAGGCTCCAGGTGAGGCAGCTGCAAAGATTTCTAGATCCCCTGTAACAAAACTTGAAACCATGGATCTAAGCAGCCTGACATTCACTGCCTTAGTTCCTCAGAGAATCCCTGGGGTCTGGAGGCCCAGTGTCCATGGGATAAGTGACGAGCCTTTAGATGGCATGGGTTCATCCGATGAGGGTGCTGCCTCCTGGATGAGAGGACAGGGAGTCAGAGTGCATCTCGTCTGCAGTACCTGCTTCTGGAGTGGGTGCCCTCCCATGGGAGGCCAGGCTCTGTCACCTGGAATGTCCCTGCACCCTGTGGCTCTGTGGGAGAGGAGACCTATGTGGGGCAATGGGTGTGGCTTGCACACCTTGGGGGGGGGCTCAGCATTCCAAAGCAGCCTACTGCTGCTCTGCCGTGTTTCCAGGCCTTCCGGGGGGCACTCCTTCAGGCACCTGGGGCTGCTCAGAGCCTCCCTGGTGGTCTGATTCCAGCACAGATGCAGGAGGTGACCAGAGGACCTTCTGAATCAAACTTGGCCCCGAGCTGCACAATCTAGGCCCCCGGTTCCCACTGGCTCGAGTGAGAAGTGGCCCAGGACCAGCACGGTGCTCCTCCATAGAAGGAAACACTTATTCCACAGCCTGGCACTCAATGCCTATGACATTTCCCAGATGCGAATTAAATGGGCTAATGCACGTAAGGCAGTTGCTCCCCATCCTTTTTATGTCCTGGAGAAGCTAGATACAAACATTAACATAGCTCCTGGGGAAAATGAAGCCGGGGGCTGAGGGCAGCATCTCAGCACTCCCCACACGGGCCCTAGACATTGGAGCCTGTCACTTTGGGGTGCTCACACGCAAAGCGTTTAGCAGAGGGCCTACGATAGTGGTTCTGAACCTTGGCTGCACATTTCAATCCCCTTAAAAAAATACTTTTGCTCAGGCTTCACCATAGACCAATTGTCTAATGATCTTAGGTGAGGAGGTGTGAGCACGGCTATATTTTTAAAGCTCCCCAGGGATTTTGTAACACCAGAGGGTTGAGAAGCACTGGCCCAAGACAAGGCGAGTGTCCAGCAAGTGTCAGTTAATTACAAGAAAAACCCCTAGGTGTCCTGGAACGCGCTGTTCTGAGCAGCATAAGGGCTGGGGGGGGGGGGTAGGGCGGGGTGTGTGTGTTGGGGGACAGGACTGACAGAGGGAGCTGCTGCTCAGGAAAGATGAATGCTGGGTAGGGCAGCCTGGCATCCATCTCCCTCAGCCACGTCTTAGAAAATTGAATTAAAATCCATATTTTTTTAGCTGCTGCCCGCCTGGCTGGCTGGCTTGTGGAAGGGAGCTGGAGCAGTGAGCACATTAGGGAAGGGGAGAGCTGTTGAGGAGACTCACAGCCTCCCTCCCTCGGGGGCAGAAGGCCATGCAAGGGGTCTTCTGGGAGAAGACCATTCCCAAGGGTGGTGCTTTGGCCTCCAGTCTTCGCACAGCCAGGCAGGTAGGGCGAGAACGAGTGGGCTGGTTTGGACGAAGAGGGACGTTCTGCCCCTGTCCTTGGGGAGGCCCAGTCTGGGGGAACAGAATTGGTGTAGCTCCTGCTCCGGCAGAACAGAGATTGCTTGGCGGGCCTGCAGCCCCGTGCCTGATTGGGCAGAGAACAGTCCAGGACGCAAAAGCCAAGCCTGGGCCTGCAGCATGACGGGGTCAGCCAACCAGGTAGCACAATGCTCAGCTGGGTCCCGGGACTGACTCGGGCTTCAGTCCCCAATCTGTTAAGAAAGTTACCTGTATGTTCCTGGCCTAGTCTCATGAGCCTTCTGGGCTCAGGCATTTCGTTCACAGAGGAGGGAACTAGATGAACCTGTGGATCCTAGCTCTGATGTTCATTTCCATGCCTACCCCAGGCCGACACTAGAGGTGCGCTCGGATCAGGTCCATCTATTATACAAGACCGGCTAGCCCATGTAGCACCTTGTGGAGATGAGAGAGGTTCTCCCTCCAGGACTAACTAAAAAAAGTGCTCCTTTTGGGTGGACTCTGCATGCCTGGCTGGCGGCAGGCTGGAGCTGGATTTCTAATCCCACTCGCCCCTTGGCCAAGGCCCCCTGAGTAGGGCACAAATTGCACAGTGGTACCTGGACCCCTGATGCCTTCCGGCTGTGTTCAGCTGGAGGCTCACCCTCTGGCCAGGGACCTCGAAGCAGAGGGAGAAAAGGTGAAGGGAGTGGGAGCAGAGTGTGGCTGGGCTCCGCCCCTGGCCAGCTGTTTCCCAGGCAAAGAGGAAGGCGTACCCAAGTCGTGCACCATGCCAGCCTGCTCACTGGCCACACCATGACACATGCCTGGGGATGCAAAACAGAGAACAGGGGCCCCAGAACCCAGAGGGTGACTTGAGGAACTCAGAGTAATGGAAAAGGGAACAAACCTGGAACTAAATGTAAAACCTCAGAGCCCTGGGACCTCCTGGAGGGCCCTGATCGTTGACATTTCCAGGGCAAGCTGGCCTGTGATAGGTGACTGGTCCCCACCCTGCCTTACCCTCCTGGGCCCCCAATGTCCCCTACTCCCTGCTTCCCTCCTGGCTCTGAGGCTCCTGACAGCTTTTCCTTCCCTCTAATGACATTTCACAGTTTACAGAGCACTTGCACACACAGCATCTCATTTGATCTTCACAACTCCCCGGTTGGAGGCAGAAGAAGGAAGCAGGCTCCCAGGGGTTAGGGCAACAAGCTAGGAGGCGGTGTAGCCAGGTCCTGAGGGAAGTCTGTCTGTCTGTCTGTCTGTTTCTCTGACTCTAGAACAACACCTCCCCAGAGGATTGAGGTGCTCCTCTTCCAGGAAGCTTTCCTGGATTGAAAGGAAGGTGAGTCATGCAGACTAACAGTGTGGTGTACCAGTGGGGCCAGTGTTCACTGTGCAGTAAGAAGAAGCCATCGACTCGCTGTGCGGACCTAGGAAACTCCCCGCTTCTTTCTGGGGCCTCAGATATTTCTTTGTCCAGTATGGCCCCCTGCTCTGTCATGCAGCCCTCTTCTCCTCAGTTGGACTGGAATCCCCAGGGAAAGGCTCAAGCCATCTCTTTCTCGTCCCTCTTCTTCCTTGAGGCTCCCTCAGCAAGGTGGCCACATCCCAGACTTGGACCCACAGGGGAAACTGGACGGTGACTGATGTGAGTGGGGAAGGACACAGCCTGGTTGCAGAAAGGTGGATGGGGGTGTGGAGGGAGCTCTCAGGATGCTGGTGCCTGGGGTGGTGGCCAGACGCTGAGGGCAGGGGCAGGTGGCTGCTGTGGGATAGCAGGCGGGGTGGACAGAGGGTAAGTACTTTGCCTGGGAGTGGGTTCCCAGGCTTGACTCCACCATGGACTGGGTACGTGACCTTGACCTGTTTGATTCCTCTCATGAAGCCTCAGTTAATTCATCTCTACTAGGAGGAGGTTCAGCAGAACCACAATAACAGTAGCAATAGTAATTTATTCATCAGTGAAGAACTAAAATCAGTAAAAACCTACTATGGGGCGTTTGCAGCATTTTTATTTAATGCTGCTGTCAAGACAGGTAAAGAAGCTGAGGCCGGGAGAGCCCAGGCAGCCTGACTCCGGAGCAGTGTCATTTTGAGTTGTGGTAGGCGCCCCTGGATGCCCGCACCCCTTTTCTGGGCATACAGGTGTTCTCCAGGAGATCACGTTTGAAGACACCAGGCAGGCACTCCAAAGCTCACTGATCTTCCCAGGCCAGGACTGTGGGGGACAAAGAAGACCCAAAGAGAGGGTAGGACTTGCCGGGTAAGGGAGGCTTCGCGGAGGAGGAGAACAGGCTCTGACAGAGACAGCATCGTGAGGATGTGGGGAGGAGAAAGAACAGGGCTTTCACGCCCTGGGTATCTTAGGGAGGGCTGAAAGGAGGGCGTTGATCCCCGGGGAAGGCCCGACTCTGAGCCCCGGAAGCCAGGAGACAGAGGGGGGGAGGGGTGGTCGCCTCGGCATCCTTGCTTCCCAGGTCCGCGCCTCAGTTTCTGCTGATGTCCGCCTCCAGGCCGGGAGAAGGCAGCGGGCGGTCGGCTCCCTGTACCAACGCCCCCGGCCTAACTCCTCCCCCGGGCGCCCATTGGCCTGCACCCCGCCCCCCAGCCTGTGAAGTGCAGGGGGTGGGAGGGTGGAGGTGGTGGTCTGTCGCCTCCCTTCAGCGCCAGGCCTGGCTTCTTTGCAGAGACGGTGCCTCACCCGCAGGACAGACCCCGGGGCGCTGGGGGGGCCCTGGAAGAGGGGAGGGCGAGGGCAGGCGGGGGCAGCCGCGCTCGGCCCCGGGCGTGACTGACAGCGGCGGCTCCAGGCGAGCGGATCCTGCGTGCGCACACTCACACGGCGCGCTCACACGCCGCGGTGCAGGGACCCACGGCCACCGGCTGCCAGCCGACAAACGGACGCAGAGACCCGGGCTCGGCGCATGTTCCTGGGCACACGCGCTCCTCATCTGCGGGCGGCGTGGGGCGCAGGCTCGCCACTACGCGCCCTCCCCGCGGAGTCTGCTCCCGCCGACCTGCGGCCCCAAGCCCCGCCGGGAGCAGGTAAGGGCCACCCCGCAGCCCCTGTCCGTCCACGCCGGGTCCGTCCTCGCCTCCCCTCTTTGGGGACTGCCGACCCTCTCCTCCAGCTCGGCGGCGGCTCTCTCCACGAGCCGCGCCATCCACCGACGAAAAGCCCGGCCAGGGCGGCTCGGGGCCATCCTCCGAATCCGAAACGAAGCCCCCTCCCACAGCTGCTCCCTTCCTGCGCGACAGGCTGGCATCCCTCCCCACCAAGTGTCTGGGGCGATTGAGCCCTGCAGTCCTGAGGGGGTGGGGTCGGCCTGGCTTGCTCGCACCCCTTCCTGTGTCAGAAGGGAGGACCGGGGGCTGGGAAGGCGCCACGGCCAGGAGAGACCCACAGCGGTCCGCAAGGACCTGTCTCCCTACTCCCGAGGCAGACGGATGCGCCTACGCGAATTGGGAAGGTGACGCTGGAAGGTCCCTGGGGGCTGGATACCGCAGTCTTCAGGGTGTTTGAGGGGTGAGCAAGCCTTGTGCTCGGTAGGGGGTGAGATAGGGGCAGCATCGTAGGATGCCCCCCTATGGTGACACATTCCGGATTGTTCCAAGGAGCATCGTCTCTGAATTTCCTGCGGCGTGGAGGGGCTGGGGTCCGGCTGGCTTTGGTCGTCCTGTGAGGAAACGCCCTCCTGGGGCCCGTGGGAGAAGGCACCTGCCTTCGTGACTGAGGTGGGCACGCCGGAGGCCCCTGCCAGGCGCCTTAAAGGCACAGGTTCCTGCGGCAGCTGATGGAGGGGGCACACATCCTGGCGGGACCTTGGCGGGTTAGGGAGTCAGAAGGCGCCAGGGCGCCAATGGATGAAGCTAGACGCTGGGGAGGGAGCACCGCCAGAAGCTGCTTGTACTTCACATGGAGCTGGGGAGCGGACCCTCACCTTTGGAAGGCGCTCAGGCACCTTTTCGAAGATGCTGGGGGAGGGTCGTACAGCTCTGATGGTTCTCCAGTCCAGATCATTTCTATGCTTTTAGTGCAAGGGCGTCAGTTCCCTTCTTAACTTCCCCAGCCTCACAGCGTCCCACAAAGCCACCCCTTCTAAAAACCCCCACAAACACCAAAAACAAATAACAAACAAACAAACGAGAACTGACAAGCATTGGCTTTCGCTGCGGGCAGCTCTGTGTGTGGGGCGGCTGGGGATAGGAGGGGTCTGACACACACAGCTGGCGGAGGGCAATTTGCCTTGGAATTGCTGTCGGGCAGAGGCAGACAAGCACCCTGAAGGTCAGGTTAGCGGCGTTTGAGTGGTTATGGGCTTTGGAGGAGGACGAAAACCTCTTTTTCAGACTTGAGGGGGTGGGTGGCCGTAGCACCTAGATTTCCCCAGGAGGCCTCAACCTGAGTTTGGTGCAGGGTTGGGGTTGGGCTGGCAAAGCCCACAGTTCCAAGCTGAATCTGGGGCTACAGCTCTCCATTGACCTTGGGGAGGGCAAGCAGAGGCACCAGTCTGGGCACAAGCCAAAATCTGAACGTACAAATTAGAGACAGAACACACTGGGCAGGCCCTGGGCCAGATCTTCCACCCAATCCATCAACAAGTGTGTGTGGGGTAACCAGGGAGATGGCCATCCCCTCCCCTCCCCCACCATGGTCAGTTCATCTGTGGTCCTGTCTGGGACAAGAGCTGGAGCCTGTTTGCACCTGTGCCCAACAAGAACAGGTGCTGTGGGGAACCTCTAGAAGGACCTTTTCCTGCCTTCTAAGGACTAATCAGGCGAATGGCTCCATTAAGGTTCTGTTTTGTATAAGGTTCCAGCTGGCAGGTGGTTGATTGCAGAAAGCTTCAGAACCCGTCCTTTCTCATGCAGCCGCCCTTTCTGCCATGCCCCTACTTTGGGACACTCCCTCAATTTGTGTTGAATAAACAAACACACAAAATGGGTGTTTACAGATCAGTCTAGGCAAGAGGCTAAGAAAGACAGGAGCTACGGCTGCAAGATGGCTTTCTTCCTGGGGATGTGGCCTCAGGTAGAGTGTTCCAGGTGTCTGGCCTCCCAGGGAGGCAGGTTTCATTGACAAAGGGCTGGCACTGGTTAAGTAGAGGACACCTTGTGCTGTCTTCTGGAGAGCAGAACCAAGGTGTGCCAAAGGCAGAACGCGAGCTGAGCTCAGTGCCAGGAAGGCATTGCTTCTCTGAGAGCTGCTCAGCATGGAGCCGACACCTGGGTAATAGCGGGTTTCTCGTCAGAGAGGTGTGGGTGCAGAGGTCCCATGCCCCAGGCACGGGCTACGTGGAGGGCTTTCGACACTGAGGGCTGAGGGCCCTGGAAACCTCGGCTACCTCTGCACAGAGGAATCTGAGTCCAGGGTCTGAATGACTAGTGGTCCAGCTGCCTGGCAACACATAGGCTGGCAACCCCTCAGCTGCGACGTGTTTGTACTGAGCCCTGGATGCCGTCAGAGGCACATAGTGACAGCCACCTCCACAATGACACACAAAGAGGGAGTGACACACAGTTGGGGAGGCATCTAGGTTTCCCATGACACCTGCCAGAGAGCTAGGGTAAAACATGCGACAGCAGAAAGACAAATGAATTTTGGGACACACACCCTTATACGGGCCTGGACGTACCTGGGGACTCAGAAATGTGCCCAAGGAAGGTCACGAGAGTCCCTCTTAATGAAAGTCCGGGTGCATGTGGAATTGAATGGAGAAAGTGCAGGTACTGCGTGAGACTAGGACGAGGGTTGGCAGAGTTTCTGGAAAGGGCCAGATTGTCAACAGTTTAGGCTTTGCTGGCCATACGCTGTCGCAGCTACTCAGTTCTGCTGTTGTAGTGTAAAAGCAACCACAGACGATACAGAAATGAACAGGCATGGTATGTTCTGATACACTTTATTTATGGACACTGAGGTTTGAATTTCATAGAATTTTCATGCGTCATGAAAGATGGGTCTTTTAATTTTTTTCCTGACCATTTAAAAATGTAAAAACCACTCTTTGCACACTGGCTGTACAAAAATAGATGACAGGCTGGATCTGATCAGCCGGAAGGGTTTGCCAAGCCCTGGGCTGTAAGGCGAGAGGAGACGTGGTTTAAGAGGTTGAAGGAGGGAGGGGCTGAGTGCTGAGAGTCCGAGCTGCCCTAGGGGGCCTCAGATGCTGCCCTCCACTCTGCCTGGACCTCAGAGTGCTCCCCTTTAATGGATCAGTGCCAGGAGAGGGCCCCCCTGCCCCCCGGACTCAGCACCTCACCTCGGACAGGCCTGCGCTGTGTCCATGTGATAAATCTCCCACTCTAAGACCACATTCATGGCTGAAAATAAAATGACATCACATCACCTGAGCTCACCATATAGGTCCGTGGCCTCCTTTCCCGTTCACCCTCTATGTCCAGGTCTGTACCCACCTCCCAGCAGGGTTGCCACAGGGGAAACTGGACATGCCCCTTGTTTTCAGACGAGACTTGAAACTCACAATGAGCAGGATGAGACCTGAAGCAGCTCAGGCAGGATTGAGGGACTCCGTCTGGGGCTGGTGGTTTGCAGAAGAGGTTGAGGTCAGTGGAGGCAGGTGCAGCCCAGGTGGGCTTCCTGGAGGTGGCAGTACGAAGTTGGGTTGGCCTTGAGAACCACCTAGACACTCTTATCTCAGCTCCATGCATTGCATGAATTGTTCTCACCTTTCCCCCCTTGACAAAGGGGCACAGCAGAGGGTTGGCTGAGAAAAAGATATACAGCTCCTTTGTACGCACCTCCGAGTGTCCCAGGTTTTGATGAGGCTATGTGGTAAGCCAGGTCCTATCTTCGGTTTCTTCCTATCCCTCCTGTCCCCTCCTGCCATTTCCTTCCTGCCTTTTCCCGGAGGACCAGGGAGACGTTCCCATTTTTTCAAATCTCTGGATTCTGTACCCGTTTTTCCATTCCAGCTGCCCTTCTCCACCCAGGTCCCTTCAATATCCTGAATCCAGAAAACGGCCTCAGTTAGGATTTCTGCTTGCACTTTAACCTTCCACTGAGACCCCTAGCCTTCTGAGGAATAGTAGCTAAACAGGAAGCTTATTACTTCACTCCCCTCCTTCAACCTCTCCCATGCTCCCAACTCTGCCCTGTGGAACTAGGCCGCAGTGTCCTGGCATCTGCAGCCTTCCTTGTCCAGCCCCACCTCCTGATATCATGCTGTGCCCCTCTATAGCCCTAAGTCACCTTTCCAAACCCACCCACCAAGCGCTCTTCAGAGTTTTTGGGGCCCCCACCCTGTGCCCTGCCTGTGCCAGGGGCCGGAGGCATCAGAGCTGGCCCTCCCTTCCAGGGGCTCCCATCCATTCAGAAGAGACTGCTGATTAACAAAGGTCAGCACAGATGGGATGGTGCCCACAGGCCACCTCTCCCCGAGTCACGCCCCCTGCCTGGGAGGCAGGGGATGTGCCTGGACGACGCAGTGTGGACGGGCTGTGCAGCATGAGCTCGGGAGAGTCTCCTGGTGTCCTGGGGCCTCTAACCCTCACCACTGAAATGGGACAACAGTACTGAGTGTGCACACGTGTGCACGTGTGTGCTCTACCTGGCCCTTCCCTGCCCTGAGCCTGGGTTCCCCGTGTGTAAAATGCGGGGCTTGAGCGAGAGCATCGCTGGGGCCCTGGCTTGTCACTGGCTTGCAGAGGACCCCAGTATCCATGCTCTGAAAGAGGAAGGTTCGAACGCCAAAGGGGTGCAGCAGCATTAATGATTACTTCTGCGGTTGTCAGGACATCCCTCCCTGGCGTTGGGCCCTGCCCTTCATCAGCGCTGACTTTATTGAGGGGGAGAGAGGTGCTGGAGGCACCCTCTTCTTTCCCAGAGGCAAGTGCAGTTCCCTCCCTTTCAGCAGGGAGCTGGGGTTGGGGGACAGTGTTTCATCTCTCAGCTTTCACTCCCTGGCTCCCTGCGCTGGGAGAAGAGTGCGTAGGGGGGCTGCTCAGGTTTTATCAGTAGAGGCAGCCTGGGGAGAGCAAGGGAGGCCATGATCCACTTCTCTTGGGTCAGCGTCTGTCTGGTGTCC